TTTTGAAATTAGTATATGTGAGTCATCCAGCTTCATTCTTGGGTTTTTTTTTTTTTTTCCTTCAAATTATTTTGGCTATTTAGGGTGCCTTCTGTTTCCATGTGAATTTAGGATGGGTTTTTGTATTTCTGCCAAAAACACTGGGATTTTGATAGGGATTGCTTTGAATCTGTACATTGCTTTGGGTAGTATTTGGGTATTGGTCTGTAATTTGAATCTCTCTAGTAGTTTTTTATGTCAGTTATTGTACTTTCATCTTCAAAAATCGTTTTTTATTTTTTATTTTTTTTAGGTTTTCTATCTCTTTATTGATATTCCTGTTTTGTTCATAGATTTTCTTGACTTTCCCACATCTTCCTTTAATTCTTTAAGCTTCTTTAAGATGATTGTTTTAAAGTCTTTGTTTTGTAGATCTGCTGTCAGGTCTTTTTCAAGGACAGTGTCTATTCATCCTTTTTTCCTTTGAATGCATAATACTTTCCTATTTGTATGTGTTAGGATTTTTTTTTTTAAGTTGAAAATTGGACATTTGAATCTAATGTGGTAGGTCTGGAAATCAGATTTTTTCCCCCTTCACTGGGTTTTCTTGTTTTTGTTTAGTGTGTGTGTGTGTGTGTGTTTAATTGTAGGCTGTCTCTGTGCTGAGCATTATCCTGTGGTATAAATTTAAGGTCTTTTCAGGTCTTTGTTAAGCCTGGACCTTTCTCTGGGCATGTACAGTGACTTTACTTTCTCCCATACATGCAGTTGCTTTTGAATGTTTGGCTCCCAAAGGGAGAAAAATTAAAGAACAGAGTGGGAGAGGGGGAGTTGAGCTGGCCATTTAAACATCCTGGAAATCACCTTAGCCAGAAGGGGAAAGACTTCAACAGTGTGAGGAGTTGCAGCAACAGCCACCCACTTATTTGTCTGCAGCTCTTAGATGAGAAGCAATAGTCTTTGATCTGAGCACAGATCACTGATATTTGGAGACCAGAGTCCTTTTTACCTATCCTGACCCCTGCAAGCTGTGTGCAGGTTGCTCCAGGAGCAGGTGCACAGCAATGCACTGTGGGTCTGGCAGGTGGGGACTGGGTCGCTCATATTATGCTAAGAGCCCAAGTTGACCAAAATTAACTGCAGTGTATAGTTCAAGTCTTCTCCCGAAGTTGAAAGCCTTCATTAGACTCCAAAAATCCAGAATAGTTACATTGGACAGATTTTGCCATTGTTGTCCAGGTAGGGGGACAGATTTCTATTGCCTTTGACTCCATCATCTTCCCAAAACCTTCCCTGTTGTCTTTATTTGTATTTTCCTTCCTTCCTTTCCCTTCTGTTTCCCTGAGACTTTCAACTAAATAGTGTCTGAAGTTTGTAGTTCTTTTAGTTGTAATCTTGTCATTATTCAGGAGCTCTCTTGATTTGGTGGTGAGGTGTTATGGGAGGAGCATTCAGTAGTCTGTCTTTTGGTGAGCCTGAGTTGGGTATTTCTCTTTCTCCATGTTGAAGGCTAGAGGGGGTGTAGTTTGTGTTTTTGGTTTTTTTTTTCCACCTCAAAGGCTAGAAGAGATAATTTTCTTCTTCAGGCTTGTTTGGTTTTGGTAGACCCAATTATTTAGGCTTTGGTAAAATATTTTCCCTTGAGTTTAGGATTGTTGAGGAGAGTAGAGAGCTCTGGGAATATTTTGTAATAGTTACTTTCCCCATCTTTTGTTTGGATGTAGGAGACTTTTCTTCGATTTTTACAGTGAGCAACTGGTAGGGCTCCTGGGGATAAAATTTATGGGGATGTGGTGGCACATCTAAGACTGGCACTTGGAATTTTAAACTCTCGACCAGTCCACACTGAGTCTCGAGTAATTGGTCAGTTTTAGTTAAAAGTATTTCTACCGCTTCAGGTGTGGGCTTCAGCCCCTTGACTTGAGCTCTTGCTAAAATGTGATGGTCTGTATCTATTTCTCTATTTCTTTCATTTTCAGAGCACCAGTTTGTCTGGTTACCTAAAGTCTTTGATGGCTCTAAAAAGAATTGTTGGTTTTCAGTTTGTTCAGCTTTTTGCTCGTTGTAAGGATGGAAGTGATGATTTCTAAGCGTTTTATGTATCAGACTGGCAAGTGGAAGTCCCTCATACACTTTTTGGAATGCAGGAATGTAGGTGTTCATTGTTAATAATGTTAGTGTATTGTAAAAAAAAATATGATATGATTACTTTTTCATATTACCTGTTTGTAAATGAACTCATCATGAATTTTAATTATGTCCAGACATTTTGAGGTTTTATTTTATTTACAATATTGGGGAAAAAGGAGAATAATTTTATATTCTTGATTGTATTTAAAGATAGGATAAATTCTTTTAACATAGTGTTTTTTCAGTTTCAGGTGTGAAATATAGTGATTCAGCAATTCCATACATCACAAGAAGTGCACTCTTTATTTATTTATTTAACAAGACAGATAGCAAGAAAGAGCATGAATGGGGTTGGGGGGAAGCAGGATCCCTGCTGAGCAGGGATCACGATGTGGGGGCTCCATCCCAGGACACCGGGATTATAACCTTAGCTGGAGGCAGATGCTTATCTCACTGAGCCACCCAGGCGCCCCAACAAGTGCACTTGTTAATCCCCATCACCAGTTTAAACCTGTTCCCCCATCAGCTTCCCCTCTGGTAACCATCAGTTTGTTGTCTGTAGTTAAGAGCCTGTTTCTTGCTTTTTTTTTTCTTCTTTCTTTCTCTTTTGCTTGTTTGTTTTGTTTCTTAAGTTCCACATGAGTGAAATCATATGGTTTTTGTCTTTCTCTGATTGACTTGCATAACATTATACTCTGCAGCTCCATCCATGTCATTGCAAATGGCAAGAGGTCATTCTTTTTTATGGCTGAATAATATTCCACTATATATATGCCACACATTCTTTATCCATCCGTCTATCGATGGACACTTGGGCTGCTTCCTTAATTTGGCTATTGTAGACCATATTGCTGTAAACATCGGGGTGCATGTGTCCCTTTGAATTTAATGTTTTTGTATTCTTTGGGTAAATGCCCAGTAGTGTGACCACTGGATCATAGGGTAGTACTCTTTTTTAAGTTTTTGGGGAACTTCCATACTGTTTTCTAGAGGAGCTATACCGATTTATATTCCCACCAACAGCACATGAGCATTCCTTTTTCTCCACATCCTCACCAGCACCTGTTGTTTCTTGTGTTGTTGATTACACCGTTCTGACAGGTGTGAGGTGATAATTTATTGTAGTTTGGTTTGAATTTCCCTAAGAATAAGTGATGATGAACATCTTTTCATGTGTCTGTTGGCCACCTGATAGGATAAATATTTTAACTGCCTTATTATGATGCATATTTTATTTGGGAAGCTGATGCAAATGTCTGTATATTTCACATATCTTACAATGCCCAGAAATACTTCCTAGAATTGGTAGTTAACATTTTTATGTCTGTTAATTTTTCAAGTAAAATTTTGAAATTAGGAACTGATTGGTAGATTAATATCAATTTGTTTATGATCAAAACTTTTGTCACTAATTAAAAAAGCAACACGATTCCTTGCAGAGATCACCCAAGAATTCTTTAACAATATTTCCCCTCATTTGCATATTTATTTCAATATTCATTTATTTCAATATTCATTTATACATATCACTTGGTAAAAGGTAATCTTGCATTGTTCTCCATTTTGATGAGCTGGTACAGTAATCTTTCTTTGCCATTATCTGTTTGGGGCCTATTTTGTTTTGAAATGTTAAGCAGTTTTTAATCTTACTCTCTAGAAAATACAACAGGTTTTCAGGATAGAATCCGGTGTCACTCTAAGGTTTTTGTGTTTGTTTGCTGATAGGATATTTGGTGCTAAATACAATCTTATTATTAATCCATTATATGACTATATTTAAATATTAAGTGATATGGGTTTAGCTCTAGGATAATACTATTACACTTTTTTGAAGCTTATGCGGAGAACACAGGATATTCATTTTTGGGTTAATATAGAGATACACAATTATCAATTATATTTATCTGTTGGGACACAAGAATATTGTAAGGGTATACCTTTTCATTTATTGCTTATATCATTATAAATAGGAACACACTGGAAAAGAAAAAAATCAATTTGATCTAAAAAGAATCTAATACACAGTGTTAATATAATTTCCTTATGAAAGTCCTAGATTTTAGTAACCATTTTTAGTTACCAATTCTTAGCCTTTCTTTGGGAAAGTAAAAGCTAATGAACTGATCACTGAGTCATAAGTTTACCTCTCAGGACTGGTCCTAGGTAGAGTGTGGGAAGACAAATTTCAGAGGAATCCAGTACCCTTGGGTATGGGCTTTCTCTACCTTGTAAATATCTAGTGCTATTTCAGTGAAGCACTGAGTTGATTGTAGTTTAAATGCATTTTTAGTCTGTTATCTTATATGAATAATTTACTTTAGCTTATAAATGTTTAAAATTTAATATACATAGTTATTTTAGTAGTTATTTTTAGGTAGATTGGATACAGAACCCCCCCTCCCAATTCTTTTATCTGGTCCTTTAAGCAATAAATAAATTCATTTGTAAGGCTTTTAAAATACATTTATAAAACTATACATTTTTATTTAAAATATTTATGCCTTCAGTTTATATTAAGGAAGAATTTAAAAAAATAAAGAGGAAATCGATTTATCTTCAGTAAAACAAATGTAACTGTGTTTAATATAGCACTTTAAGTATTATAAAAGCGTCAATATCAATATTAATAAAAATATGCAGAGAACTCGAGGACTAAATCATGGAATCATTAAAACAATAGTAGAGTTTTAATATCAGTCCTTTATTCAGAACAAGTGATTCAACATCTCTTTTTTTGTGTCCACTTAATTTAAGTGTATAATTCCAAGTAGCAAGGCACTAACCTTTTCTATGTAACAAACCTCATTTTTAATTTTTATATGGCCACAAATTGTAGAGAGAAATTTTTTTCTTAGTACAGTGCACTCAGTTGTGCAAACTTATCTTTTTAGGGTCAAAGAAGAGCACAAACCACAACCGACACAGTAAGTAAATGTATTTAGAGTGCAGTAGGCTTGATTTCTGTACCTTTGCACATATTCTGCTTTCTGCACCTTGGATGGTATTAGCTTACACTAATACTGGATAGGCTGCAGCTAGTGTGTCTTCTGCTTTCTGACTCTGGCTTGTAAGAGAGCTGCCTGCAGCCTCTTACTTCATCCACATGTTGACTGGATGTAGTTTTTTGCTGCCTGCTTGGGGACTGGTTAAGTGTTCAATCTTAATTTCCCTACATTCTGACTGCCTGGTGATAATTGGAGCTCACATTTCCATTGGCTGTAGCTTTTGTGCCTGTGTCTCTTTATTATTATGGTTAAGAAAACATTTGACCTACATTGTTATTCAGTCACATTATTTGCTTATTTAAACAGGTGGTTTCCCTTTAGTGGGATCACTGAACTGGTAAATAACGTTCTTCAGCCCCAGCAAAAACAACAAAATGAAAAGGAGCCCCAGACGTAAGTAAGCTGATCTGTATAGACTAAATATTATCTCTGATAGCATAACATACTGAAGAGTATGTATTAAAATACAGCCCTTGGAATATTATTCCTCAGAAACTAAAATTGCTAGGTTATGAGTTTGATACTTTCATCTTTAATTATCATGGAACTCTAAAAAGAAAACAGGATAATTTATAGGGTAGTAAAAGTGAAAAGAAGTAGTTCTCCCTTCAGTTTTAGTATGGATAATGTAAATTATATTTACCCAGTAAAACATCTTTCTCCATTTATGTAATATATTCTAAAGTGTGTTTCTTTAAAAAATAATTCAGAGGACATTAAGAAATATTAACCCCCCAATTCAGCCTTTGGTCAAATAGTTTTAGAAAGGTTCTTTTAAAAAAAGGTCAAGCAGTTTTCTTTATTGTAATACTTCTGAGGGTCTAAAAGTGCTCTGAAGGGGTTAGGACATTCAATGTTTACTAAACATATTTGACCACTGAGTCCTGCTTTCACTGAACATTTCATTAAGTTATCAACATAATTTGGGAAACAGCAATTTATCCTCACATTGGCCTGAAACATTAAAAAAGAGTCAATTCCATTTATTTCAGTTGTTAGTAAAATAGAAAGTAGTCTTGAAAAAATTGTTCACCCATCTCTTTTGAACTCCGTGCCAGTAATATTATTTATATTTTGAAGTGTAAGTAACTTTGAGAATGTGAGAAAGATTTTATATATTTAAATTATAATCTCTCCATGATAACTGTCTTCTTACTCCAACATGCTCTTACCGCTCAGCCTCTATGCTTTTTTTAAGTGGGAGCTCTGGTTGTGGAGAAGATGGTTTGCTTGTAGGGATGGACAGATTGAGAAGTGACGTGAACTCTAGGAGAGGATGAGAATGACTACTCTAGGAGCCCCAAGATGAAACAGAGAAACTTTCATGTTTGCCTTTAATGCAAACTAGGGGATAAATGTCTTTTTGTCTTGTTATGGCTGAGGGTAATATGCTCATTCATTTTATATTATCTCGTGTGCATTTTATTTTAAATTTTGTCAGTGTTTAGTTTCAACCGACCTAAAATTAAGTTGTGGTATACTGTTTCTAAGAGTTTAGAGTAGTCCTCTTCACCCCTATCTGCAGATATGTTCCAAGACCCCCAGTGGGTGCCTGAAACAGCAGATGGCACATAATCCCTATTTTTACTGTTTTTTTTTTCTGTACATACATACATATGATACATATGATATGTTCATATGATGAAGTTTGATTTATGCATTAGGTACAGTAAGAGATAAACAATAATAACTAATAATAAAGTAGAACAATTATAATATGCTCTAATAAAAGTTATATAACTTTGGATTCTCTCTCTCAAGATATCATGTACAATATTCACTCTTCTTCTTGTGATGATGGGAGGTGATTAAGTGCCTACATGATGAGATAAAGTGAGGGGAATGACACAGGTCCTATGACATAGTGTTAGGCTACCATTGACCATTTACCTGTTATGGCAGGAGGATCATCTTCTTCCAGACCCCAGTGCATCCCAGGTCACTGAAAGCACTGAAAGTGAAACTGAGGATGAGGCATGGGGGGTTGGGGTTCTACTGTCTATGTAGTTCTAAAATGGGAACTGTTGAAGTATTTAATCTAGGTGAAGTCAAGACCATTTTTGTTCCATCTACTGTTTTATCTTTGGCATCTAACAGAATGCCTGATCTGTAGGAGGAACTCGGCAAACCTTTCTTATTCACAACTGATTTTACATGTTTTATCCTTTTATGGCATAAGAATTCTTATGGTATAAGAATGTGCTTCAAGAAATAGAAATGAATTTAGTAAACTCTTTTCTAATAAAAAATTGTGTTAAAATGGCATACCTTGTCATTATTTTGCTTATTTTCTCTAAGGCACTGAAATGTCATAGGATAGTAAAATTACTATCAAAATATAATTAGATGCAGATTTGCCTCTGTGTTAAATGACTTCAGTTATGTATCTTATTTGTAAGTTTCAGAAAGTAATAAAGATTAAGTTACATTATTTAGTAGATTATAGTGGCCATTAAATAAAATAGATATTTGGTTATTAGCTTTAAAAAGATAGACACTTAAAAATGTCTAATTATTGAAATAAAGTGACCTTTTTAAAAAATTTTATTTGACAGAGATCACAAGTAGGCAGAGAGGCAGGCAGAGAGAGAGAGAGGAAGAGAAGCAGGCTCCCCGCTGAGCAGAGAGCCTGACTCGGGGCTCGATCCCAGGACCCTGAGATCATGACCTGAGCCGAAGGCAGAGGCTTTAACCCACTGAGCCACCCAGGCGCCCCTGAAATAAAGTGACTTTTGATTGACATAAACAAAGATCAAGGCAAACTTGAAAAGAAATAGCTTTACTTCAATAATAAATATAATTCAGTTTGCTTGGATTTTTGGATAGGAAGATGGTAGGAGAAAAGACTAGTACTTTCGGATATTTTAAAAATTAATTCTTATTTAATAGGTGCTATTTCCTTTAAACTATCTTAGGCAACTCATTCTTCTTGTTGATCTGTGATTTATGCAGTTTTAAAAATTCAGAATTAGGGACACCTGGGTGGCTCAGGCGGTTGAGTGTCTAACTCTTGATTTCAGCTCAGGTCTTGATCTCAGGGTTGTGAGTTCAAGTCCCACATTGGGCTCCACACTGGACATGGAGCCACTAAAAAAATAAATTGAGAATTAATAGAGTCTCTCAATAGTTAGATTTTTCATCTCACATTCCTGTTATCCTGAGGATTTTTGGTATATAATTTTCCAGGAGCTTTCCTTCTGTCTTTCTGGTCCAAAAACCAGGATACTTATGAATCCTCTCTTTAATTCATCTGTGTTCTAAGACTTCTTTCTGAGTCATCTCATTTTTTTCTTTCTTGACTACCATTTGAATGGGATAACTTCCTCCGCTTACTGAATTCTAGGTATTTATTTAATATATAAAAAATAGGACTTATATTTCTCACACTCCATATAGATATTTTCATAGTAGAATAACTAAGTATTCTATCAGATAGCATTAAAAGTCTAATATTTCCTGAACAGTAATTTCATTCTAATGAATTTACACAAATCCCATTTTGTGGTTATTCAAAGCTATAATAATGTAGGTTTCTTGAATCTGTATTTTCGGAGTTTATTTATTTCATAGTTCTTTAATATAATGGAATATTTACTAATTTTGATATTGGTGATTCATGTGAAACAGTAGATATAAGTAGAACAGTGTGTCCAATTTTGACTTTCTATAAATTTTAAGGCATAGAAAATCAGTTGAGCCATTTGTGTCAGTTGTCAGCTCACTCAGCCTTTGCAAAAATTCCTTAATATATAAATTAAATAATTTTACTTTTTCTTTTCTCTCTCTCTCCCCTCCTTCCTTCCTTCCTTCCTTCCACTATTTTTTGCCTCAGCATCAAAATGAGGGAAAGTTTCTCTAAAGACACTATAATATAGGTTATATGTAAAGTGTAAAACAAGTACCTGGATAATTAAGAATGGGCATACTGGGAAAAAAACTGTTAAATTCTTTGGAATGCAACTGTTAATTTAACTTTGCATTCCCAATAGCTAGAATAATAACAAAGGTAAGTTAGAAATTTTAAAATACAGATTAATTAAACCAGTCAATTGGATTAGTTTGTTTTGAATTTTCATGTAATAACAGTTTTACTCATGTTGGGACATAATAAAAATTACACTTTTGAAAAACTAGGAAAATCTAAAATTTTAATCATTAGAATCAAATGGCCATTTAATATAGTAATCCTCTTTGATTGTGAGGTGTTTTAATAGGAATAAATGCTAAGAGAAAGAATGTTTTTTAAGCATAGGGAACATCATTTGTTGAAGCTTTTAAGTAGCAAAGGGTTTGAGAGACAAGGAAGACCAATGTGGCTATAATATAGTGGATAAGATGGGAGTATGGTGGGAGATGAGATTCCAGAGGTAGGATTCAGATAGGGTAGTGTTTTATAGAGAATGATAAGTGTGAGTCTCAGTAAAAAAGGATGATAATTGGAAACTTTTAAACATGGGATTGACTTGAGTTAATTTAAATGTGAGTATCAGTCTGGCTGCTCTATGAGTAGAATGAATGAGAATAGAAGTGGGTAGAGCAATGAGGAGGCTTTTATGAAAGACTTTGCTAGAAATGATGATGACTTGGACCAAATTGATTAAAGATGGAGAGGAGTGGATTGGGATATATTTGGAGGTTGAAATGACAGGATTATTTTTAGTGTAGTAGATTTGGAGAAAGTTATTAAGGAAGAGAAAAGAGCCAAAGATGACTGCCAGATTTCTGATAGGAAGAACTAATTAGGTGGTGATGCCATTAACTCTGATCAAGATGGGGAAAGGATGAATAGGTTAAGACTAGCAACTAAAATATAAGTTTTAGATTTTTTATGCTTCAGATGTTATAAATTAGCCAACTTTGAAGGAGAGATAGGGATTGGCTAGAGTTACAACTTTTGGTGTTGAATCTAGATGAATAGATAAGATAACTTAGAGAGTGTGTGGAGAAGAGCAGATAAGAAGGTCCATGACTGAACCCTGAAGAATTCTAACGCCGTGCAGGGTACTAGGAATCCAGAGATAAAAGGACTGTGGTTCCTGCTCTCACAAATATTTCACATTTAAGTGTGAAAAAGACATGCTGATAAATAATGAAAAAAATATTGTGGAGATTTTCTGGTTTCCTCTTTGGCATGGAAAGAGTTTGGAAGTTGTTACTCTTATCCTCGCAACAAGAAAAGGCTGAACAAACTGAAAATCAACAACTCTTCTAAGATTTATCACATAATTGAAATCACAGAGCAAATCATTCCCCTGACAGTTGGAGGGAGAGGTGAAGAAAGAGGACGACTGCTGACTGGGAACAGAAACTCTTGGAGCTAGGTAGGATCTGGTAGGAAAACTTAAACTATAACTAATGGAACTCAGACTGAAGGCTGAGTGCACTGACTTAAG